TCCAACTTCTCTCTTGTAGAAATTTTTTTCTGTGATTATTATTATTATTATTATTCTAGATCATGTGATTTTTTTCAATAAATATTGTTTTTATTTGATTTTTTTTTAAAAAAAAACATATAGAAATTTGGAAGTTTGGATGGGAAATTTATATCTATAGTTTATATGATGAAAGTTATGTCTCTGTTATGTAGTGTGTTTCCACAGTTTCTCTTGTATTTCTTCCTCCTCCTTTTTTTTTTTTAATTTTTTTTATCAATATACATATATTTATTCCCTGCCAAAAAATTAAAAATAAAATAATGTCAAAAGTAAAATTTGTTTATTTTTTCTATTCTTCCCGATACTCCACCTAAACAAAACCAATATGGATAGTGGCTTCTCTTTAGTAGTGGTTCGGTTTTTTAAGTCTTCATTTTCAAGAAATTGAAAATCAGAAAACATTACAAAAAATTGTTTCGCAGACAATTTTCTAAGAATAATTTTTTAAAACGCAATTAAAAAAAAAAAAAAAAAAAAGGCAATTGGACCAAACATACCCCTAATTTCTTTATTGTTGTACTTGACCAACAACTAGCAAAAGCATGATCCTCATGAAAGCTATGATATACTGTAGTATATGACAGTACAAATGATACAACAACTAACATATATTGCAATGGTATCAATACACTTCTCTTCTCTTGAGGTACAAAAATGGACAAATCATAGACAACCTATTATTTCTTCATTGCACATACACATGGAAAAGACTTTTTCAAAGTGGCCATGAATTAATAACCAAACATCACATATGATGACACTTGCTTCCCTATCTTAGCTTTCTTAATTAATATATTAACTAGTCACATCACTTAATTATCTACAATATCTACACACACGCTAATTAGTCATATCACTTGAATTTTTTTTCTCTCTCTGCATCATGTGATATTTTTTTCTCTACATCATGTGATTTTTTTTTTTGTCTGGATCATATGAAATATATATATATTTTTTACTTTGTGACAAATGGTTGATTTTGTTCTTTATTGTACATGTATGCTGATCATATTTTTTAGTGTTCATGCCATGCATTTTTTTTAGTGTCCTTGAGCTTCTTACTCATCATCACTAATCAACTTCCCCTGAATACCGAGTTAAGCTCGATCATGTAATTATTATTATTTTTTTCTAGATCATTACATTTTGTTTTCCTGGATCATTACATTTTTTTTTTCTTGGATTATGACATATATACTGACTAAATTTTTTTAGTGTCCATTGCATGCATATTGTGTGATGGATATATGTATATATCCCGCTCTGATATGCATGTATAGTTTCATATTTTTACTTATTCATTCTTAGTGGTGTTATGTATTTTGTAACTATTTAGTAGATGGAGACAAATCATTTAATTCATCTGCATCATTCGAGCAATTTCGATAGGCATAACAAGTATGTTGGAGGTAACTTGCAGTTGTTTGATAATGTATAATGTAGACCCTGATATAATGTCATATTTGAAGTTCAAGACATTCTGAAAAGCCTTCATTTGAAAGTGGCTTTGTAGAAGGTTAAACTGGGTTTTATTTAGGATGATGGTTGATGTATCACGGCTTTACTTTTTGAAGGTGCATTGGATGCTTTAGATGTAATGTTTAGTGAATGCTTGATTTTTTGACAGTAAGGTATTCACTTGTATTACTGTGTTTTTATTTTACTGAAAGTGATGCATTTGCTGAAGGTGAAATTCGGTTTGCACTTATTGCATGGCTTGATGAATGATAGGTTAAGTGAATGCATTACTATAGGTAAATATTTAGTGATAACAAATATTCATTCATATGAACTTTAGAAAAAAAAAAAAAAAAAAAAATTATTCATTAAAGTTGAATGCAATATTACATGAATAGATTTCCTCTAGGAACTCAAATAACTGATTCACATCACTATTTTGAGAAATATAATACAGGTTAAGAAGCAAAAATAAAAAATTCCAAATGAACCCCAACGCATTCTTGCACAACCGGATTTCTTTATGGATTTAAAATCTTCAAAGGACTTCCAACTTAACAATGGCAATAACAATCTTTCAAAGCTCTTCCGTATGAGTAAGAATGGCCTTTTGAGAGTAAGAATGGCTTTTTAAGGTTGAAGATTTCATGTAAAAGAGAGAAATATGGAGATATAGTGCTGAGAAATGCTATAGGGAAATAATATATAGTAAAAAAAAGTTATTAAATATATATAAGGTAATGTACACATAACACTCTTATAGTATGAGAATAGTTGTATATTTACCCTTTTTGGCATTTTCGAAAGACTAAAAGGGTAAAATGGATATTACAACAATAATTTAGGGATGTTTATTGCACAGAGAGGTAATTTTGCACAATTTCAAAAAATTAAGAATATGTATTATATACTTTTTTAAATAGGAAATAAAAATGTTACGAAAAGTATACATTGTTTTCTACATTTCCCCCATTTGCTAGTCCCTTAAAAGAAAAATGCTATTTTTGACGACAATAATACACCGACAAAAAACCGACTTCTAAGTGGCAACAAATTATTTGCGCACAACACTCTCTCCCTTCCTTTGCTCACAACCCTTCTCTCTCACTCCCCTGCAAAACCCTCCCATCTCTTTCTTCACGTGTTTTCCAACAACGGCAGTGGACAGCTTTCCCCCAAGACTAACAATGGTTTCTCGACAGGTGAACTTCTTTGAAGATTCATTATCAATTGCACCAATTCTAGCACAATAGTCAACCTGCTATATAAGGATATTCCCAAACACGGCAGAAGGCTTGGCTGGAAACGGATGACCCAATACTACTGGCGCACGTCACAAGAAGCTACTCAAGGGCTTCGGCAAAGAGGAAAAGAGCTTTTCAAAGAAAATCCCCTCTTTCAGAATTGCTTATATAAGATCGATTCTTTCTTTCGTCTGAACGACGCTATTGAACTATGACGAGGCCGGCGATGGACTGAACTTCGACCAAGGAGTCCGGCGGAGGCAAGGAGGAACTACACCGGCGACTCACTAGTTATTCTCCATCTAAACCTTTCCTGTTCATTTGGAATCTAGATTTGATTTGGAAGAAAATGCTATTTTGGTTGTTACAGCTTTCCACGGAACTATTTCGTTAATTCCGAAAACTCCTGTGAGGTTGGATCAGATTCCGACTAGAAATCTCTCCGGATTCGTGGCTGATATCCTGGAATCTGGTCAGAAATCTCTTCGGATTCGTGGCTGATATCGTGATTCCGTCGCTCCTGTTGGATGTTGGTGAAAAATAATAGAAGCTGGTAAAAAAAAAAATTAATAAAATAAAAATAAAATAAAATAAAATAAAATGGTAAAGTGATTTTATTGGGCCATAGAGTCATGCACGCAGGAGTCGTTTTTGTCGGTTGTTTTCTAGTCGGGTGAAAAAACAACACTCCCCTTAAAATGGGCGAGCCTTTGAACTGAATGGAAGCATCAGTTAATAATCCTTAACAACAGCTAATGTGCAGGATATTTTATTTTATTTTATTTTGTTTTTTTGGGTGTTAGAGCAGTGGTGAAGCCTTGGTTCTTTTCTTTGCTGTTACTAATAAATTGATGGGAAGAAATTATGTATTAAAAATTCCTTAAAATGGGCTAGCCTTTGAACTGAATGAAAAGTATATTATTTTCATTTAATGATTTTTATTTTTATTTTTTATGTTTATATTGACCCTAGGTTTGATTTCAAATAATTACTATCTCCGTCCCATAATAGTTGTCAATTTGAAAAACTTTGACTCACTACCATCTTTTATTTTTAAATCATTTAGTTATTTTTAGTCATATTTCTTTAATATACTTATATACTACATATATCCCATACTAGATGTCTATTTTGATACCTTTGACTCACAACAAAAATTGTGAGTCAAAATTTTTAGAGTTGACAACTAATATGAGACGGAGGGAGTAATAAATTGTGTACTTGTAAACTCGATTCAATTTCGTTTGGTAGACGAAATGTTTTGTTTGTTTTTGAAAAAATCACTTTATATACGGTTACGTAGTGATAAAATACATATTTCTTTTGTTCTATTTTATCATTCAATATTCTTAATGTAAATAAAAGACCCATCCGATTAAAAAAATAATAAAAATAAAATGTAACATTCTCATTCACTGACACCCCGGCCAAATATCACACATTCAATTTTACTTTTTCATCATTAACATGTTAAAAGCTTGCAAAAAAACAATTTTAAACTCACCAAACTTGAAAAAACAAAACTATCCTATTTTTGTTTTCTCTAATCTATCTGTCTATCAATCTATGCATGCATGCATGCATGGTTGATGACCTTCCAGCGAAGGCAACAAGCAGCGGACCAATAAATAACCCTAAATAGAAGTCGCATTGGATTAAAAAAAACACTAAAAAAATGAAAATGTAACATCCGGATTCCTTGTGCTGATGCCACTAAGGACAAACTGAGTGTTGCTGAAATGCGATTGCTTAGCTCTTAAGCCTTTTCCCAGTTTGTAGTGTTGCTGAAATGCGATTGCTTAGCTCTTAAGCCTTTTCCCTGTTTGTAGTGTTGTGTTTCAAAGAACCAAATCTAGAAATTTTATTAGTGTTCCCACTAATTATTATTATTATTTTTCTGTCAACATCAAGAAAAAATTTACACATTCATTTGTTCAAGGACTGAAATCCTCACCGTCAATGTTGGGAATTAAAGTTTTATATAAATTGTGGGTGTTTTTCACGCAAACACACCCTTGAAGTCCACATCCAAATTGTCGAGTTGCAAATGTTTACTTACTTACAAAGAAATTTAATTAAAAAGTCACATCCGATTAAAGAAAAAAAGAAAAGAAAAAGTAACATCCTGCTAGGTGTTGCAAATCTAGAGATCTCGGTGTATCTCAGCCGTCCAATTTAGCCCGCTGTTTCCACTAGCTGATCATCCTGAAATCATTATCACGGTTGGGTCTTGCTTGTGTATGTGTGTGTGTATATATATACACACACCTTTGAATATGATTCATTCCCTCGCAAAAAAAAGTCGAATCTGAAAAGCCCATCTCATTTTTTCTGAAACATTCCCTACAAAAATTGTACGCTGGATGTGGTTTTGTGGTCATCGAATCTCTCTTTCTGGCATAAATTCCGACTTTCATCATTATCGCAACCTGCCTTTTCATCTTATGGTTAGAAAATCGTGATTCCAATTCCGCTGATTCCATCAGCTTTGTGTGTGTGTGTATATATATATATATATGGGCCTTGGAGATAAGCACGAAACCACACCTACGCTGAGATCGCCTTTGCTGAAACCACCCCTAATCTCGGTTTGCTTCTCACCCTTCTTCTGAAATTGAATCTATATTATTCCGTGCCAATTTTATTTATGTTTGTTATCAGAGAAAAATTGCTGTGAAATTAATGCCATTTTCTCATTTGTGTATCATATTATTGTTGATAATTTAATATGCTGTTGTTCTTTCATATTAGGGATAATTGATATTTGTTGTTCTTACATTAGTTGTCTATCTTACTATTAAATTAGTTTTTATTGTGGTAGTAATGATGTTGTTAATGGTGGTGGAATGTTTATGGAAATGGGGGAAGTGGATTCTTCTCTGGCACACACCCTCTTGCTATGCATCAAAACTAAGTTGTTGTTGAGAATGCAGCACAAATTACTCAAGCATTCAATACCCATTTAATTCGAGAATGTCTGCAGTCTGCACAAATCCCTTTATATGAATCAAACCTGCCAGGGGTTGTTCGGGGTGGTCAGACAAATCGATAAATGAAGTTTAGAGAAATTTTAGTAGCCTCTTAAACCACTTTAAGCACTCTATTGCCCGACATAGGGAAAAAAAAGACATGTGAAGCAAAAACAATAATACTAAATATGCGAGAAAAGCGCGGGAGGGATCAAAGCGAAATGTAGTAAGCTTTATAAGGTTGAGTACTGCATAAGCCATTGGTAGAGAGGTCTCATCTCTCTCCAAACCTATTGTGGTAGTTTCATAGCATAGGGATTTCATCTATAGATTTTGGAGACTACAGGTCTCTACGGCGTAATTTTGCTAAAGGTTAAAACCTTTAAAGAGGAAGTGGAATAAGAAGCAGTTTGGGAGGGTTGGGCGCTAGCTAGGGCTTTACTTATATAATGAAAAGGGCTCTTTTTATAGAGAGAGAATAAGGATTTTTTTATAGGAGTGAGTGATGAGAGTCACAAACAGAATTTTTTTAGATACGCATTCTGGAAGTAATAAGTGTTGCATTCTCAAAATAGATGGGTGTTCAGTGATGCATTCTCGAAATAATGGTATTGGATTTTTGAAGTAATAGTATTGCATTCTCCAGAAAGACGTTATTTTGATGCACAACAAATAACATCATGGGGGCTGTGCACTGGGCAAGATCCATCCAACTCAAACGATAGAGCGCAACTCTCTTAACCTTGTGGTGGTGGCTTCGAGGCCCTTGTTGGGCATGCATATAAAAATATCTTAATGGGGTTCTTCTTATTTGTAAGGGCATACAAGTTCATTCGTCTAAATCAAGATTTGAGCGGAATGGAAAATACGATTCTTTTAGTAGATCCCAAGTAGTTGAAAAAACGCTTTGTTGAGTTGAGTTAAGTTAAGTTGTTCTTATATTTATATGTATATTATATCCATGTTTGGGTAAATTATTCCCCTGGTATTATAACCCTAGTGAAGGTTACTCCTTCCTCCATTTTTTTTTTTCAACTTCAAATTATTAGTAATAATACAAATAATTTTGATTGTATAATATTATTTCCTTCGAAGATGTCATGTTGCCATGTTGGTAGAAGTCTGTAATTTTTGATGATGCCAATTCTTCTTGAATAGGCTATTATTCTCAATTTTCTTGGATAGATCTAGGGTTATATTGCTTATATATAAGTGGATGAAATATAAAATTTTAGTTCATCGTGATGCAGCACACTTTCTTGGTCCACTTTGTTCAATCCAGGATCAAAGTTTCTGCCACTGACTGGTGATCAATTATGGGTTACTTGAACAATGTAGGAATCCTACTTTAATTCCTCTTTTTGATTCCTGTCATATGAACTCTTTTTGGTGTTTCAAGAACAACTTGCTCTTTCTACGAATTATTTCTTCATTTCTAAAGCTCAAAGTATGAGGTTAGCTTACATGCTTGTTGTGGTTCTTTTTCTAATTTCATATTTCAATACAATGCAGGGATTTGATGAAAGTATTCAGCAGACTAATCCTGGTATGCTTTCTATTTTCTTTGAATATTAATTTCTTTCTTTGAAATAATGCTGCATTTTGATAAAAAAGAAGAGTAATTCATCAATGCCTTAAGTTTATCGGCTTTACCATTTTATGTGATGGCATTAATTGTTGGTTAGCAGCTAGTGCTCCCTCTTTCTTTTCCAAAGTCAGTCTGGTTTCCTTTATATGTTTTTTCCTTTTGTTTTTGTTTCTGTTCTTTTTTTTGCTTTCTTAATGTTACTGGGAGAGGGGAGGGGGGGCAGAGCAGATGAGGAGAAGCATAGTGGAAACCGGCCTGCTGCTTGTTGCCTTGAATGATAGAAGAGCTAATTATCAGAGATCTCAAAAAGAAAGTACCAGTCCAGGGCATACCCTTGACTAAAGGAAACAAAGATCACAACAAAAAATAGTCAATACAGCACATGTAAATCAGCTACAGACACCCAAAGAGGTAACCCCTTCTAAACAAGCTTCCATAGCTAAATGTTCTGCTGCAGTACAAGAACCACCATGCAGAATCTTGTTCCTGTAGGACCATAAACTCCATATAATTACAGTATAGAAGCACCTTGATACTTTGCTCTTCATAGAAGGATTTACAAACTTATCAATGAACCATAGAGTGGCTGCATCCAAAGATTGAACATTCAGAAGGCCATCCTAGTTGCAGAGATTGATGAACCAGCTCCAAACTTGCTTCGCAAAGCTGCAGATGCAAAAGATATGAACATTGGAGTCCTCCCCACTGTAACAATTGACAAAAGATTGTTTGAATGTCGCTGGACTGGAACCACCTGCAGAGAGATTCTAGGCCTGCATCCATTCCAAACAAGAGAATGCCAAGGAACTTTTGCCCCTTGTTGTCTACAAATTTTCCAAGCTGCTTTGAAACAAAATTTGCCACTATTCCACATCACTGCATCCTCCTCTGACTGATTAACATTCCTATTTAGACAGCAATTTCTGCAGGCCAAGAGGATGGCACATTCCACCTACCTGAATTCCAAATAACACTAACAGTATCTGTAAGTTGATAACCAGCTGAAAGCCTTCTCAAACCAAATTTCTGCTGAATAGAAGTACCATCACACCAAGGGTCAAAAAAACCAGACTGAAAGTGGCACCATTACTTAAAATCTCAAATGCTGCAGCATGCAATCTCTAACTGATAAAATAACTTTCCAAATTGATGAATCAGTAGATTTACCTATTAAATTCCAAAAAACAAATTAAGCTCTCTTGACATATTTATCTCTAAACCATCTTATCCACAGTGCCTCTTTAAGATGCAAAAAATCCCAAAGTAGCACACATTTGCTGGACTTAACCACACTCTGAAAACTCCTAATGCACATCTCACCTTTATCCTTAGGCAAGATGACCTTCTCCCAACCAAGCAGAGGATGAACCCTGTGATCAGAATCACCAGACCAAAGGAATCTTCTAACCTCTCTCAATGGTGTCTTGTACTTAACAATGGATAGAAAAAACAGCTGACTAGTAATAGACTAATAGTAATATGCTGAAATAACAGACTTCACTAACTCAACCCTCCCTGCAAGTGATAAGTTGAAAGAGTTCCATGCTGACAGCTTGGAATTAACCTTGTCCAACAGCCTAGAACAATGAGAGTCCTTAAGTTTCCTGTCTACCAAAGGCAGACCTAGATAAGAAACTGTAAAGGACCACACTGAGAAGTTCGGTAAATTTTTAATGCTCTTTTTCCTCTTAAAAGACCTAGTGAAGAATAATTCACTCTTTTCTGGACTTAAATTCAAGTCTGATATATCAGCAAACTGCAAAAAAGAGAGAATTAAGATTTCTAGTATTTTTAACACTAGCCTTTAAAGTTATAAACAGGTAATCTACAAAGAACACATGAGAAATCTGAGATCCCAATTTCTGAACAGCATGACACAACTCCAAATGACCTTCTATGACAGCCCTTTGAACCATCTGAGAAAAGAAATCAGTAATAAGGCAAAAAAGCAAAATAAAAATCCAGCTGGAACTCCATTAACTAAAACAGAGAAACGAGCAGAAGAAATACACTACATTACTCATGAGGTTAAAGTGTTACCAAATCCATACCACTGAAGAATATGTTACAAAAAAGTCCAAGACGCAAAATCATAAGCTTTAGCTAGATCCACCCTGAGTGCCATTGTAGGGTGAGTAGTTTTAGAGCCAAACCCCTTAATTAGGTCATGAGGTAATATGACATTATGATGAATTCTTCTACCTCTGATAAAAGCAGCCTGCTCTGGTCCAACAATATTAACTAGCCCAGAAGATAGCCTATTTGCAAGCACCTTAGTCACAAATTTATAAATAGAGTTGCAAAGAGAGATAGGCATATAATCAGTCACTCTCAAGCACTCATTCTTCTTTGGAATTAAGGTCAGAAAGGTTCTATTAACTCCTTGAGCCAATGTACATTTGGTAAAAAAGAATTGAATAGAAGCAATGACTTCAGATTTGACAATGTGCCAATACCTTTGGAAAAACCTGTTTGGGAGACCATCAGGACCTGTTGCTTTATCAGGAGCAATTGACATAACCACAGACTTGATCTTCTCCTCAGTCACAGGCCCCGGAGAAGACACAGAACCTGCAGAATAAAAATTTGAATAAAAATCCACCACCGAGTCACCAAGTCTCTAATCTTCATCTGGTCCCTAGAGCATTCTCCATCAACATTCTGCATTAGGGAAATTGAGTTGTGTTGAAGGATTTATATATTTAAGTTACACGCTCTCTAACAGCTTAAGCTTTTGGAGTAGATGGTTGTTAACATGGTATCAGAGCAAAAGGTCTTGAGTTCAAACCTCACCGTCACCCTAATTAAAAATTGAAAAACACATGTTGGACCAAAAGAAGGCCACACGTGAGGGGGCGTGTTGAAGGATTTATATATTTAAGTTACACCCTCTCTAATGGCTTAAGCTTTTGGAGTAGATGATTGTTAACAAGTTGTAAGCTCTTCTCTGTTAAACTTTCTTATGAAAAAATCCTGTGCACTTGTCATTGTCCTTGAGCCAAAAGGATTCTGGATTTCTGAGACCAAAGGATTTCCTCCATTTTCAAAGCTGATTCCAATTCCTCCCTTCTAGTCTGTTCTAACTTCGCAAGTGTAGCATTAAGAGGATCTGTTTGCAGCTGCAACTGAACCTCATCAAGATGCTTCCTGCATTCTTTAACATCATCTGGGATAGAAGGTTTAATTTTATTCCAATTCCTCATCTCCTCCTTTACAAGCCTAATTTTCTTCTGCAAAATATGATAAGGGTTCCCATTTACCTAATGAGCCCAAGCTCTAGACACAACGCCCTCCACTCCATCCATCAAGCACTAAACCTTTAAAAATTTGGAAGGTTTTGGACCTGAAGAACAGTCAATGGAAGAAGAAAGAACCAATCCATAATGATCAGAAAAGGAAGCAGAAGAAAGGATCATCTTAATATTGGGAAAAGAGTCATACCAATCAGAATTGACTAACCCTCCATCCAATTTTGCACAGATCCTCCTCTTAATAAACTGATTGTTGGGCCTAGTCCAGTTACCATTCATCACAGAAACCTCCTGCAACCCACAAGTATCCAAAACCAAGTTAAACTCATCAATGATTGATTGAGGGATGCTCAAACCTCCAACCTTATCACCATGGGTTTTCACAACATTCCAGAGTCAAGCAGCATCAACTACTTGAGAGTGCACAACTAAAGAATGCCATAACTTCCTGCTCTCCCCCACAGAATTTGCAGCATAAACTTCTGTAACGTAAAACTGCTTCTGGGAATTATGGTCCAGCACTCTCACAAGCAAACTTTGAGCATCTTCTCCAATGTCAACATGAAAAAGAGATGGGTTCCACCCAAACCAGATTCTACCATTAGGATGGCTAGAATAATTAGCATACCACTTCCAGTTCTTATTTATAAAATTAGTGATTTTCTGAAACTTCTCAAACTTCACCCTTGTTTCAACTAAAATAACTAATTGAAGATTAAAAGACTTAATCCAGGAACTTACCTCCCTTTGCATTCGAGGCCTATTAAGGCCGCTAACATTCCAAGAGCCTAATATTGAGTAGAAGAAGGTGGATTAGCTCCACCAGCTTTAGCCCTTGTAACTCTGTCAGACTGAGCCACAATAGTCTTCTTATTTTTCTTCTTCCCACCAGCTTTAGCCCTTGATCTTTTTGTATTCTTTTGATCTCAGTTTGGTTGGTTCAGTTGTGCACTGCTCAATCTTTCTTTGAGTGTTAGTTCTTTGTGCAAACATTTCCTTTTCTTGTACCATACTGTTTATTATTGTATCAATAAAACATACTTTCAGGAAAATAAAATTATAATAATAAAGTGGAGAGTGGTTATTGTGGTCAGACAATCTTAATTAAACAAAAATCATTATATGTTTAACTACCCTTGACATACTGCTTTTTACTCTTATTTGAATGTATAGTTAGGACTTAGGAGTGTCTTGAGGTTGCAAGACGAGGCTTCCAAATGGCATAATTAAGACAAATGTGAGAAGAAATTATTTATTTATTTTTCATATTATTGCTAGTTTCAGAATTTATATTCTATAGGTGCATATTATTTGGAATAGAGTAACAAAGTAAAGGTTTCACCTATCTACCTAACATTTAACCCATGTTACATGGACTCGGGTACATGTGTTTGGTGCGGGTATATATCCAAGCGTCGGATGTATCAAATCTGAAAGCAAAAGAACCCGGGGACACTACTAAATATTCAAATATTTAAATATATTTTTTATTTCTAAACTAAAAATAATGTCTTTATGTAACATACTGTCCAATATAGGGTTTTCACTCATTTTCAACAATAATATAATGAACTTGAATTATATGATAAACTTTTTAGGTGCATGTCCAACCAAAAGTGTTGGACACATATCCCATACCCATGTCCATATAATGTGTGTCCGGCACGAGTACTTTACCTACGTTTGAAGAGTCCATGTAACATAGCAGTTAACTACTACTACTACTACTACTAATAGCACTTTTTTTTTCTCTAAGAAATGAGATTGTTTAATTGTAACTGTTACTGCTAATACTATTATTACTAAGAAATGAGATTGTCTTATCTCATGGGGAATAGAATTCGGAACATTCATAGTATGAGAAATAGTGAACATTTAATGGGCTTATTCCAGGGTAGATAATTGTTATGATATATTTCTCATTTATTTTTATTTCTTAAGATTGAGTAACTTGGTTAGTAACGATTTGAAATGTTAACCATATGTATTGCATACAAAACGTAAAAGATCAACAAAAGATAATTACATGGAAAGGTAATGTTGTAACAAATATCGCTAACCAAGAACACAATCAAGAAACATGATAAAAAAGTAAACACACCACACACAAAGAACACAAAGATTTACGTGGTTTGGCACAAGCTTGCGTCCATGGTAAAAATCTGGCAAAATATTTCACTTTGCAAAAATCAGGCGATTACAAGTTTCAGCCCCCAAACCCTAGCTTTCTCTCTCTCTTGCTCTTGCTCTCACTCTCACTCTCTTTTCTGTGATTTTCGGTTCTCTCTCTTGTGCTCTCTCTTGACACACCCCAAACCCTAAACGCCCTTATATACTAGGCTACAAGAAAGTTCTAGAACCGAGTCCACGCTCGCAAGAGGAAAATAGGTCAATTTATTTATTTTTTTATGGTGTTGCCCTTGAATTACGGCGTCTTTGGTGGGAGACCCACACCAAACCCAGTTTCGGGATGTTTTGACCTGGGCTGAAACAAACTTTTGGCCACAACTTTACAAATCTCCACCTTGGCTCGAATTCCACTAAGCTCCACAATACCAACTACTCCTTTCGCGAACTCCACATGCCCCTAAGGCCTCAACAACTGCAAATAACACTCAAGTCCAAATAATGTCCGACTTGACAGTAGGAATGACCTTAGTCATCATATCCGTCGGATTCTTTGTGGTCCCACTCTTCCTCACTTCAATAGTTCCTTGTGTAATCATATCACTGATAAAGTGCGACTGACATCAATGTGCTTGGTATTCCCATGGAAAATCTGATATTTAGTTAGGTTTATGGTACTTTGATTGTTGCAAAACTTAGTCAAACCATCCTGTTGCAAGCCTAAATCACCAACCAAGCTTCTCAGCCATCCTTCACTGCCTCTGTGGCTACCAGATACTCCATCTCAATTGTAGACAATGTAACTGTGTAGACTATAAAGTCGCCTTCCAACTGATCACTCCAACAAAGAGTGAAAAACACCCTGTCATGGACCTTCTCCTATCAAGATCTCCAACATAATCCATACCAACATATCCAACGGCACCTCCTGAAGTGCTGTTGTCTCTGTGATAGACTAAACATCTACAGTGCCTCGCAAGTACGGCAATATCAACGCGACCCGGGCCGAAACAAAATTCAGGACACAACTTCACGGTAAAGATAGTCGATTGATCATTCGGGATGTTCTTTTGAAAACAAAAGATCAACTTATAATTGAACAGTTCTTTAAAATCCAATTTATGAACATAGATTTTTTTTAAATATTGCTATGTTTGTTTGTTTATTAAATAGCATCTATATGGTATATAACTAATTATTGCTATCATTCTCCAAGCACTCAGAAATCTATATTGATTCTCTACATTGGATGTACAAAAATGCTAACAATCACCAAGTCAAATCCAAATAAGTCTCTTCGCACAACATAGCCATTAACTGTCTACCAAAAGAATATAAATGCAAAAACAATAATCATGAACCTTTTAACTTTATATTACAGATGGTATGTCAAAGAGATGTATGGTTGCTAAGTACATAATAGTTTGTGGAAATGTTAAAAAGTGATGTCGGTGGTCAGAATCAAACATATGGGGTTGCACTTGGCTTATAGGTTATTGTATAAGTTTGCTTACCTCTCCTGGCTTTCTATTTATACATGGTGTGTGGGGTTACACACCCTTGACTCTATTTAGTGTATTGCCTTTATCTATTAGGACAAAAAATATTATAGAGGATAATATGTTTTATACATGAACAAGTAATTGAAAATCACAGAATAGTTTCTTACTGGTTTCACATTCTAATTTTTATGTTTCTCTCAGTTGTGATATGTTGAAACAAATTAACAGTATGGTTCGTATTTGAAATTTTTGTTTGTGAAGGTTAAGATAGTGAATGCTTATTAAAGTGTGTTTTGGATCTTTGTTGCAGGGGCAGTGATAAGCAGTGGAAGAGAAATTTTGTTGCAGGTAACTTGGTCATGATGGCCTATTTATAATTCTCAAGAGAATAGGAAAATTTACTTAATCCACAATTCAAACTAGTCTTTTGACTCAATACATGGACTGATAGTTGCTATGTTTTACGACTTCTCAAGTTAATTCAGAAAAAACAGATGACCTTACTATGGATTCTATAACCTTTCAGACCAATGTGACATGCAATTTTTATGAGTCTAGATTTTACCTCTTGACTATTTAAGTCTGACACTAAGTTTGTACAGCTGAATGATGTCTCTCTTAACAGGCTTTCAACTGGGAGTCTCATAAATATGATTGGTGGAGAAACTTGGCAAACAAGGTTCCTGATATTGCGAAGTCTGGGTTTACTTCTGCATGGTTACCACCAGCTACTCATTCCTTCTCACCTGAAGGTTGGAAGAAAAATCATTTTTGAAACATAAACTATTTTTTTATTCTTTTATTTTCACTATATTCTTGAATTTTTATATACATATATATTTTTTCCTTTTCATTTGTAGGTTACCTTCCACAGAACCTTTATTCTCTCAATTCTTCCTATGGGTCTGAGCACCTGTTAAAAGCTTTACTGCAAAAGATGAAGCAGTTCAAAGTTAGATCAATGGCTGACATAGTCATAAATCATCGTATCGGAACAACCCAAGGGCATGGTGGAATGTATAACCGTTATGATGGAATTCCATTAGCGTGGAATGAACATGCTGTTACCACTTGTACGGGTGGATTGGTAAGGGTTCTAGTTGTAGTTGACTTTTTTTCTGCGTCACTTCATGGAAATCTAGGGTGTTGCAAGTACCATCCTTTTTAAATTGCATGTGATTGCTATATAGTGTGAGAAAATGCTAATTTTCACAGTTCTTTCTCTGATTGTGCTTGAGGCTGGAGGTATCAACACTCTCTATGTCTTGCTTAGAAAATATCATGTACATATTTAGCAAATTAGACTAGACAGGCCTGTCATTTTTGCACTGGAAAAGCTACCCACTTGGTTTGGTAGTGTTTCTTTAAAGAATCCTTGAAGGTCCCCAATCAAAATTTTAAATTTTTTTTTTTTTTTTTTTTTTTTTTTTTTTTTTTTTTTTTCATGTGGGCACACATAACTAATCCCATTATATTATAGTTTCTAACCAGCTGCACCACCTCTTTAAGTTCAATTTAAATGGGCTAATAATATGCCCAAGCAGGCACCAAGGAGCCTGGGACGCATGTTAGTAAGCTGATAAAACAGCCTTATTTGGATCTTACGTAGGAGGGAGTCATTAAGAACTCCTGGTAGCCCAGTCACCTGGGGGTTAGAGAAAAACTTATCCCATGCTTTAATTTTATATAATCTCGCTAATCTCCATAGATATTATCAGTTCAGTCTTCACTTATAAAAAAAAAACTGTCAGTTCAGTCTTCATAAACTTTTGTTGAGAAGGTGGTAGTTCTCCTACAAACAACCAATGTTGCCAATTGCTCTCTCTCCTCTTCTTCTTTTAATCAATTTATTAATTTGATAATAGGTTATTTAGTTGTTGGATATTGATCAGCCTTAAACTGATTTTGTCTTGATGATCTTAATACACATAAATTGTTTTTTTAAATCCTTAATAATTGTTGCTAAACAGTCGGATCTAATCATACATTGATCACAATTGTATGCTTATGCTTCTCTTGCATCAGTTTGTGCATGGGTTTAGAGCATTTTTTGACCCAATGTCCCAAAAACATTACTTCTTGGTGACAAAACTCACACTTCTCCTTTTTAACAGACAACTGAAAAGCCTCAGTTTGGAGAAACCATTCTTAAAGTTCTTTAAGTGATCCTTTAAGGACTCACTATAGAACACATCATTCATTATGTTGCAAAAGGTAATTGGGGTATTGGTTAGACCAAACAGCATTACAAGGAATTCATAAAAATCATAACGAGTTACACAACCTGTTTTTGGTTCATATATAGATACCTTCGCCAATTATCTATATATGTTAGCAGTTAGTGAAGTAGGAGGATTTTGACAAGTGGTCAAACAGATCTGCTGTGCTGGGCACAGGGTACTTATTCTTTACCATTACCTTGTTTAGAGCCTTGTAGTCCACACACATCTTCATCGAGCCATCCTGCTTGCGTTGGAACAACACTGGTGCACTATATGGTGCCTTGGATGGTTGAATGTAGCCAGAATCCAACAACTTATCCACTGCTTGCGCAGTTCAGCCAACTCTGAAGGTGTCATCCGGTATGGGGATTGAGAAAGAGGCCTTGCACCAGGCTCCAACTCAATCTTATGGTCCACAGCATGTCAAGGGGGAAGCTGTTTGGGAAGTTCTTGAGGCATAACATCTGCAAATTCCCCCAAAATTTCAGCCAATGAGTCTGAAAGTTTCACAAATTGATCAAGTTTGATCTCAATCAATCAAAGCTGCAAGGTAAGTGAAGATTTTTCTAGAGGTAAAGGAATAGGAATAATTCTCCATGTTTATTCTTCTCCTTGTGGAGGATTTATATAGTACACAAATAATTACAAAGAAGGAAAGAAATAACTACAAAGAAGGAAAGAATTAAAGACTAAAAATCAGCTCCTATAATTATGCTAATCGGCACCTAATCTGTCAGCACATGTACAGCTAATTATCTGTATATGTTAGCAGTTGTGTAGTCAACAATACAACCAATTATCTATATATGTCAACACTCCCCCTCAAGCTGGAGAATAGATGTCCCGGATTCTCAGCTTGGCAAGAGCAGAATTGAACACTTTGCCAGAGACTCCCTTAGTCAAAATATCAACAAGTTGATCCTTGGTCCTCACATAGGGAGTGCAAATCACACCTTCTGTTAACTTCTCTTTGATAAAGTGCCTGTCAATCTCAACATGTTTAGTCCGATCATGTTGCACAGGATTATGAGCAATGCTGATGGCTGCCTTATTATCACAATATAGCTTCATGGGACCTTGACAAGCAATCCTCAATTCTCCCAATAAGATCTTCAACCATAATAATTCACACACACCGTGAGCCATCACTCTGAATTCAGCCTCGACACTAGACCTGGCCACAACCAATTGCTTCTTACTCCGCCAAGTAACTAGATTGCCACCCACAAATGTGCAATATACCGTAGTTGATCTTCGATCCAAAACAGAACCTGCCCAATCAACATCTGTATAGGCCTATACTATTGAGTGATCATGTTTTGAAAACAAAAGACCCTTACAAGGTGCTGTTTTCAAGTATTTAAGTATCCTGACCTCTCTACTGCCTGTATATGAACTTTATGTGGCTCGTGCATGAACTGACTGACAACACTCACTGCATAGGCTATATCAGGTCGTGTATGAGACAAATATATAGTTTTCCATCCAACCTCTGATATCTCTCTCTATCAACTCGTTTATCATCAGTCTGTCCACCCAATCTATGATTTTGTTCGATAGGAGTATCCACAGGCTTGTAGGCTAACATCCCTGTCTCAGTTAAAAGATCAAGTACATACTTTCTCTGTGAAACAAAGATTCCCTGCTTTGAACGAGCCACTTCAATACCTAGAAAATACCGTAGGACACCCAAGTCTTTAATTTCAAATTCCTTGGCCAAATGTACCTTTAGTCTCATAATCTCCTCGGTATCATCCCTGGTGATGATGATATCATCCACATAGACAATAACAACTGTAATTCTACCTCCCCGAGATTGTTGAAGGAATAACGTATGATTTGCTTGACTAGGATGATATCCATACTTCTGCATAGTTTGTGCAAACCTACCAAATCATTATTTAGGAAACTGTTTCAGGCCATATAATGATTTTCTTAGTCTGCATACTTTCCCCTTGTTGGTACTTTCATCACTACCTGGAGGAAGGTCCATGTACACTTCCTCTTCTAGATTGCCATGGAGGAAAGCATTCTTAACATCAAACTGTTGGAGAGTCCACCCTAGGTTAGCTGCTAAGGATAACAGAACCCGAATAGCATTCATTTTCGCAACTGGAGCAAATGTCTCCTGATAGTCAATGCCATATGTCTGAGTATAGCCTTTTGCCACCAATCTTGCCTGGTATCGGTCAATCGACCCATCTGCCTTATGTTTTATGGTAAACACTCATTTGCAGCCAACAGTTTTCTTTACCAATCTTCAGGACATCTTCGCATTGAAGGGTATATTGATGCAGACCGGGCAGGTTCTCCCTCAGGTAGAAGATCAACTACGGGTTATTGTACTTTTATTGGGGGTAATCTTGTGACTTGGAGAAGTAAGAAGCAATCAGTTGTTGCTCGATCTAGTGCTGAGGCTGAATACTGTGCAATGGCTCACACAACTTGTGAGCTAACTTGGTTGAGAAGCCTTCTACAAGAGTTCGGAATCTCAGTGCAAGATCCAACTCCTATCTACTGTGATAACCAGGACGCCTTTCATATTGCTAGCAATCCAGTTTTTGATGAACGGACAAAACACATTGAAGTGGATTGTCGTTTCATTCGTTCTAAGGTGGCTTGAAATGAGATTGTGACTCCTTTCGTGCCCTCTTGCAATCAGCTAGCTGACATCTTCACTAAAGCTCTTCCAAAGAATGCATTCAACTCTATTTGCAGTAAACTAGAAGTTGTTGATATCTACTCTCCAGCTTGAGGGGGAGTGTCATGAATATAGGCTGTTTACAGCCTATAATTAATTAGGAAAGTTGACTATTCTGCTACATGTAATCTGCTAGCTTGATTATAGGAATATTCTGATGCATAAAATCTGCTAGCTTGATTATAGGATTTTGATTAGCTTAATTTCTGGTAATTGGCTAAACTAATGTACTGATTGTATGTCTACGGTTCCTATATAAACCCACATGTACTCACATCTAAGAGACATACAAGAATTCTTCTCTTCTATTTTCTTGCTCTTATTTACAACATCAAGCTTAATGGCCGTGTCCTCTTCTGTGATGCTAACCTTCGTGTCTTTCAAGCCAAAATGATATTGGAGATTTATAAAAGACGTATCGGTGATCTTGTCAAACAAGCTACGCCAAGATGTTCGTGGAGGAGACAACACCCAGGAAGGAGAACTAACTCCTGGTTATTGGGAGGAGGTATTACCCTCCTCCATGTTATGCAGCAATCTTCTTCACAAGCAAAACCCTATTTTCCATGCAAACCCTATTCATTCTCTTTTGATTTTTAACTAAGTTCTCAATTCCATATTTATAGCCAATATAGGAATTCTATGTGATATAATAATAATAAAAAAGTCTTTAAAATTATGTTTCAAAGAAAATTTTGAAAATATTTTACATTGACAGACCAACCGAGACATCGATTGAGAGCCACTCTCCAAGTTATTAATCCATTGAGCCGTTTGAAGCATTTTAGACTATGATACAAATTGTCTGTAAATTTTGATCTATGATTACATTGGTAGAAGCAATCTGTTTATGCAAAAGAATCCCGATTCCAAATTTCAAACCATCTATATGAAAATTTCTACGATCCCTACTATTGAAAAATATGTTTAAAACAATATTTTGATCCTTTTGAATATCAATTTAGGTCATTAATATTTGTAAAGGTATAAACTTACCTTAACCTAGATATTTGATTAAACTTGATAGATCTTCTTTTTTTCATAATTAACTTGATAGATCTTCTACATGTTCTTTGTTGTTTTTCATTTCCATAATCTTCTTTGGGTTGTATATGAGTGACTCCAAGACTCTTAGCACAAATTATCACCTTAGTTTTGAGTAGGAATTTCCAACACGACTCAGTAATCGACATTAGGGTTTCTATAATTTCTAGCAAAGAATCTCTCTTCCTCGTATGTCTTCTTTGAAGCAGTAGAATTTAATGTGACCTGTCTTGGCTCAATAAGAACAGCAGAGAGTGGGAGGATCATAATAATTCTTTGTAGGATTCAGTCTAGGGAATCTATTCGCATGATTTTGAGGAGTAGCATTGTTAGGAATGTTTCTAGATTGTGGAGGAGTTTATATATTTATATGGGTGTGTGTGTGTGGAAATGTGATTTGAAGTACTAGCTTTTGAAGTAAAGCCCAAACCAGAATTATCAGATGTAGACTCACCCATGATCAGTAATTAATCTAAGTTTTCAGTTCCTTATGAAAACAAACAGTGTTGTCTTTGCACTTTTTTAGTTTAATTTCAAGGTCTTCTATTTTCTTCGGAAGCCTGATTAATGGTTCGATGCTTCACTCTCTTCTTGTTCAAGTAATTAAATTTGCATGTTGGAGACTAACTATACCAACTTACCCAACCCTAGAAGAGTAAAGTAAAAAGAAAAAAAAAACTTGAAAAACTTTGAAATACCTACTCTTGATCACAAAACAAAACAACTCACAAGACCATGTGCAGGCAGCGTCCAGGGTGTCGCAAACAGCATAGGGTTGCTGTTGCACAAACCGCAAGGCTGCTGGAGGTTGTGGAAAGGTGCTGCTTGTCTGGCTCTGATACCAAGAAGAAATACAACATATAAGAACTACAAGAGAAATATGTAAAGGCATGAATGAGAAAGTTCACTCATTCACAACGATGGTATTTATATCCTTAAAGAGCACATGTCAATATTACAAGAAAGGAAACTAAATAAAATCATTACAGATTCTATGCCTAGATATATGCATAAATAAAGTCAAATTCCATGATTCTAGGCTATCATATCTCAACTAACTATCTACTTTATGTTTTGATTTAGAAAATCATAATTGAATTGCATAAAAGTGTTTTTGGAACTTGCTAATTCTGAAATTTCCTAAATATAGAAGATGGACACTTTGATCAATCAACTGATTAATCAAAGGATACTAGTTGCATGTTGATCAATCAACATATGTGCTCGATTGATCGAATTTTCCAAGATAGGAATTTATTTTTAGGATTAAAATACTAAAACCCTATTCTCTCTATTACTTTGTTGTCTATAAATACCGTATAATCTTTGAAAACCTAGGCATACATTAAGATCCACAAGCTAGAGATATTTTAAGCATAAGAGTACATACATATTTTTATTTGTGCATTCATCAATCATATCCATTAGGTTCTCGAGTGTTTGTATATGAGTGTCAATACTATATTTTTACAGAGCTAAATTGAACATCAACACCAAACAATCGTAAGACTGTGATTGTGTGGATGACTAGTCTGGAGATGAAGTTACTATTGAAGAAGCGGATCGCGTATGGAGCATTATTTGTTGATAGACCATACTGTGTGCCTGAGAGTCTCAAGTGTGAGTTTGATGGATCAATCTGTGCAGTGTTGTTAAAGGCGCGCCTAGGCTCGAGGCTCAGGTTTAACGCCTGTTGTCATCCCAGGCTCACTGATGTTTACTAAGCGCGCGCCTTGGTTGCGCCTTGTCCTGTTTGTGAGGTGCGTCTAGGCGCGCCTCACTGATATTTGTTTCAAAAAATACGATTGTTCTATTTCTTAAACCAAAAAGGGTACTTTTGGCAACTTAATAAACAAAAAAGAAAGCTCAATCATACGATATAAGGAACTGTTGTTCAAAAGAATAAAAAAATAAGAAAGCCCAAGAGTCAAAGTATTAACCGAACAACGATAGAATGAGATTGTGAGACGAAGGCGAAGCCCTAGTTGCAAAGATGAACAATGAAGCCACGTCAGTTTTTTTTTTTCCTCTCACTCTCTCTCTCTCCCTCTTCTCCTCTAGATCTCTCCTCTCTTATTATCTTTGTTTACATCTCTCTCTTCATCTAGTTCTCTCATCTCTCTGTCTTCTTTTTTTTTTTTTTTTTCCTTGTTAACAATTTATTTATTTTTGTGCTTTGTTTTGCCATTCAAAAAACAATTTTGCTTTGCCATACAAATTTGTGCTCTGTTTTATGGTTGTTGGATGCTTGTATAGTTGATGGATATACTTTTTTATATTTGATAGTAATTTTTAGAATATTGATATGACTTATGAGATATGAATGTTATTATGGTAGTTTAAATTTTCAATTGTGCGCCTCACTTCACTCAGGCGTGCGCCTCGCACCTAGGCTCCAAAGGACCTCTAGCGCCTTGGTGCGCCTTGGGCCTTTAATAACTATGAATCTGTGTGAAGATTTAACTAGGGGTCCTGGGGTTAAGAATTGTTCACCTAGTGTAACTTCTCTTTCATATAGTTGATTTGATCTGATTGGACTAGGTTCAATGGTTCACGTAAAAGTCTTGGCGTCCATTTTGCTTGCTTTCATCTTATTTTATATTGCTCATGATTGCATGTGCTATGATTAAAGCGTGATGGTTTCATTGGTTATTGTGATTTAGTGTTAATTTAAAATTTCGTTTTTGTGGTAATATAAATGAAATTTAAAAAGTAGTTAAAATTAGTTAAGATAGCCATCAAGACCTATTCACCCCCTCTAGGTCTAGATCATGGACCTTGCGAATACGCCTAGGGTCCAGTCCTTAACCCATCGCATTCTAAAAGGAATTTTTATGAATCAGAACATGTAAATTAAAAATCTTAATGTGTTCAATAATATGAATGCATAATAACATGAACCCTATTAGGCAAGTGCATAATCCAGAGTTGCAGTTACCTTTTGCACCTTGCTTGAAATTTTTTGAATTCCAATTTTGCCCACGGGCAGAGGTAAGTCAACTATATAGGTAAGTCGACTATATAACTAACTCTTAAAATTGTAAAAAAAAAAAAAAAAAAAAAAAAAAATCAAAATTTAATATTACGGATTCAGTTTTATACGAAATTTTCCATCCCAAGTCTTATTGACCAAACACAGTCAAATGATGTCCTCAGTAACCTGGGGATGATGTATTAAAGTACTTTATTTTATCAGAACATCCAAAAATCGCATCCTCAACCTTACCTCCCCCCTTCTTGGTACAGAAAAAGGCCTTGTGCCTCACAAAATTAAGGGAAGTAGGTTCATGAAATTATTGGCCATTATGCCTCAAAGTGTCTCGGGAAACTCTTAATTTCAAACTATGGTATCAGATCCAGTGGACTAACCAACTACATCCTTATTCATATCACTGAAATTGTTCAATAAGTGTCCTTGCCTCTCTCTATGTGTGAGCTTTGTGTTAATATATGCTTGTGGTTGTATGAGTAAAAGGAGACATGAACTGAGTACTTGGGTCTATACATTTACATGATGGCCATAGTTTCTCATCTTCTATGATACTAAATCATGAACATTTATACATGTTGATCTCATCTTCCAGGGTAACGGAAGCACTGGGGATAATTTTCAAGGTGTTCCAAATATTGATCATACCCAGCAGTTTGTTCGCAAAGACATCATTGGGTGGCTACAGTGGCTACGCAATACTGTTGGCTTCCAAGATTTCCGCTTTGATTTTGCTAGAGGGTAAACTTTATTATGCTGTCCTCCCCCCTCCTCACCCTTTTCATAATAGTTTTTTCCTGTAATTTTCATTCATCTTATTTCTCAATCATCTGGTCTAGTTATTCAGCAAAATATGTAAAAGAATACATTGATGGCGCAAAGCCAAATTTTTCTGTTGGCGAGTTTTGGGATTCTTGCAACTACAAGGGTCACCATTTGGAATACAACCAAGGTACTATACTTCTTATTCTATAATCATGTTTCATTTGATAGCATGACTATTAAGAAAGTAGAAAGATGAGCTCTGAGTCGCTACCCTTATTCTTTGTCAATTTTTCAATTATTCTGACAATTTGTGTCAAAAGAAAAGTTCAAACTTAAGGGAAAAAAAGAAAAGAAAGAAGCAAGAGCAAGAGTTTCATCACAGAACTGATTGCAGCATCTATGCTCCGTTTGTTAGGAAGGAAGGAAGAGGGATGGAGGGAAGACAAGAAGGAAGAAACAAACTTCCTTCGTTTGGTATAGAGGATGCAAGGAGAGAAGAGAAAAGAGGATGGATGAGTCATCCTTCCTCCTTCACAAATTTTCTTCCCTCCAAATATGGACGGAAGACATGATGAAAGGAAGGCAATGCCATTATAAATGTTTTTGAATTACACAACTTTCCTTATAATTACCCCTTTCTCTGCCCTTCTTTCCTAACAAACAAAATAAGGTATTATTTCATTCTCTTCTCTTCTATCCAACCAAACAAAGAGAAGGAAGTACACAATCTCTTCCCTAGGGATGTCCCATTCATCTCTTCTTCTCTTTCTTCCATCCAATTTATTTCCATCCTACCAAACAGAGCATTAGTATGTCAGCATGACAATGTAGATTTTCTTTTCTATAATGTTGGGCATTTGAGCCTTTATATGCAACCTTCCAATTCATACAATTCACCTACTGTGATGGATTTTACATCTCCCATTTTTATTGAAGCAAACAACTATTTGTCCCATTAACACTTGGAGTAACACTTTGGTTAGTTTCATTTTAAGTACATCTTTTGTGATAAACTTTTTTCCCTTGGCCATTTATTTGTCACATTAGATTTGACATGCCTATTCTTCAATCTATTATGTATTTACCATTGAGCATCCCCATGATAATTTTTACCTGCTGAGTAGAGTTAATGTTGATATTATTGACTAATTCTTATCATGGATTCTGTCCATCCGCTCCTCTCTCCTCCTCCTCCTCCCCCAATTCTCTCTTTGCTCTTGTGGTATTGACTTTTATGAGATTTTGGATATTCTTGCTGGTAAAATAACTTCGAAGTTAGCTCTTAATGTATGTCTTCATCTGGAGATAACTTTTCTGGTATATTTATATTTCCATATTGTTCACTAATTCCACATGCAGATAGTCATAGGCAGCGGATAATTAATTGGATTGATGGCACGGGAAAGCTTTCAGCTGCATTTGACTTCACAACAAAGGGAATTCTTCAGGTATTCAGCCAAGGCATTTTGTTGAGATACATCTATTCATCTTCAGTGAAAACAGACGGTGTTCTCAATGTGGAAACACATCCTCCCATAAATAATACTCCCTCCTTCCCATATTATTTGTCCCTTTATGGTATTATTACCTTTCTAAGGGGACATGAAATTAATGCATCATCTCCTTTTAAAATTACCAAGTTGTCCTTTCAAGTTTATATATGTATTTTACCAAGTTGGGAGATTTTTGAAAACTTTAAGGGTAATTATGGAAAGTTAACATTTATTTTGCTCTTTGACTTTTCAAGTGGGAGACCTAATTTGGGACATCCCAAAAAGAAAAGAGGGGCCACTAATATTAATTTGGGACAAAGGGAGTAATGCTATCTTGTTTACCCTTTCTATGTTAGTTAAAAGACTACCTATTTCAACATGTTAGTTTCATTGATCATTGATCATTGGGGTACAAGTACACGTCAGCACTAATATTGAGAGTGTCATACGCAAGCATAAATGTAATATTAATATCAGGACCAACATGGTGGCAAATGTAATAATGTTAATTGAAACCCAAAGGAGCTCCTTGAAGCAAGCTTGAGAAGAAAAGAAGTGACACCTCGAGAGATATAAACCCCTCACAACACGGTTTCGCCCTTTAATTTCCTGCTTCTAATGCCCACCTACCAAGCCTGCAGAATGACAATAGAGCATTAAATGCAATTTTTTTTTTCCTAGTTGGTGCTCCACCCCCCAAGGAATTGTTTGCGACATTCTATATGAGTACTCATGCAGACATGGAGAAGCACATTCAGATTGATATTTTTTGAAAATTACTACAATTTTGTATAACTTCTCCATTTATCCCATTTATTCAGTGGTCCAAGCTCTTATAACTGAGCCGAAAAAAGGGACATTACCCAGTTCTAAAAACTGACCACTCATTCTTATATAAAGAGCATTCTCTCATTTATTACACAAGACCTACCAAAGCTTACAGAGCAAGAACATCATTGAAGTGAGAAGACTAGGGATTTTTGAGGAGTTTGTCCTGGGATCTCAAGGAGTCCCCATTGTCATTCTTCATTCCCTCTCGAGTTAGCCTGGATCCCCACCTAGGACCACCCCTTTGGATCTCTTGTCAGGATTGCATCAACCCCTCTAAATTCTACCTTGGAATAAAGAACTCTATATTATAGGTTGAAGCAGTCTGCCATGTTCAATATATGACTACCATGTTTAGATGATATATTTAGGTCTTTCTCATAATTCACCTGCCAATAAATTGGATTTCTTAAAGAATTGAACTTTCTGCCAGTGCTCATTTATATGTCACTACACAGGAAGCTGTAAAAGGGGAATTCTGGCGTCTGCGTGACCATCAAGGTAATCCACCAGGAGTGATGGGATGGTGGCCTTCAAGGTCTGTCACTTTCATTGATAATCATGATACAGGATCAACTCAGGTACTTGGAACTTTTTTCTGGTTATTCTTGTAACAGTTGGCCTTTTTGCTCCATGTATTCACCTTTGTATCCTAGCATTCCTGAATTCAAATTTTTGTTCGTAATTAGCTGTCTGTTAACTCAGATTCTTTGATTCTTGCAGGCTCATTGGCCATTTCCTTCAAATCATATTATGGAGGTATTTTAAATCAAGATTAGAATTTACTCACTTGATTGTTTTACTGCCCTAGATTTTCTCATATTTTTGGTTGCTAAGTAGAATACCTTACACTTATCATGGTAGGCATGTGGTTTTTCATGTTGTGTGGTCTCTGATTTCTGGTGCCAGTGCATGGCAGATTGTGGTTTGGTGCCTATTGATTTCTTGTTTTCTTTTTGCTTTTCTTTTTCTATGAATAGTTGTTAAATCATTAGGGAACTTCTGAAAATTTGGTTGGACAGTGTCACGAAGGATAACTAATGCCCGTCTCAATCATTGCATTTGAAAATAAAATTTCTTCTGAAGCAACTCATTCCAGGTCCTAAACTCATTTTTTGGCTAATTGCTATAAATAATTTTATTTTATTTTATTTTTTCCTAGGCAAGATGGAAAATTCTATAGATATATTGTACAAAAGAGAATCAAGTAGGGGCATGCCCCCGCATTACAAGAGAAAGCAAGTCCATCGCAGAAGTGGACTGAAACTAATACCAGGAAAAAGATTCTTTAGGCTGAGAATCTAGATTTATTCCAGCAAAGATAGTACCAGTTAAATTTAGGCTGAGTTACTCTCCAACACTTATAGCTCTCTTGAAGGCGAAAGCTCCATCATTTGACAAAATAGAATCTGAACTAGCCTGTATTGGAACAGACAAGATAAAATTTTGTAATTGCTGCAAGATGGAAGTAGAAGGACTTGGTAATCTCCATCTGTTATTATTAATAAGGCTGCTACGCTTAGCATAGATCTCTTCAAATTCTATAAGAGTTTGTCTCTAGCACCAAGGATCATCAAACAACCTTATAGAAATACCAGATCGAACTCTGAAACTAATTTGCTGTAGATCAAATTGTCTAACTGCTAACATAGTCCTCCAAGTGCAGGATTGGGATGCAACAGAAATTGTATTCCAATTGGAGGAAGCAGCAGTCTATCTGTACTAAAACCAGGCTACCCATAAGCAGTCTTTAGATCTTATATAGTCCCAGACCAATGTGCATTTAGTAGCCTGATTGATATCACTAATCTTTCTAAAGTTGACGTGGAGATATGAAGTTTACGTGCATCTCTCTTTCTCATAGGTTCACTCTAAAGCATAGTTGATAAATTCTTGAATGATTTTATATTTCCTGTCTACAAATCCACTAGTTTCCACTTTTTGTTTGATATTGAAAATAGCAAATAACAGACCTTTGCATTTATTTTTGATGAAGATCCTGTTGATATTAAATATTTCTTTAGTCTCAGTTCAACAAATGAGATGCCATCGGGCCTTTTCAATCCTTCGTTAGTACTAATGTGTCTTCAATGGTCTCTTCAATCTTGTTCTTCATATATTCCACATTGTTTAGAGAATCCTTCCAGTTTTTTGTTCTTCTGATTGATTGCTATCATACCCTACAGGGCTATGCATACATACTAACACATCCGGGGATACCAACTGTCTTTTATGACCATTTTTATGATTGGGGTGACACCACACATGACCAAATTGTGAAGCTGGTATGCTACTTAACAATTACAATGTACTTAATTGGCATTTTTGACCGTCTCTAAGATTCTAAATATGTATGCAGATGGATGTCCGGAGGCGTCAGGATATTCATAGCCGATCATCTATTCGAATTCTTGAAGCGCAGCCAAATGTCTACTCTGCAATTATTGGGGAGAAAGTGTGCATGAAGATTGGAGATGGCTCATGGTGCCCTGCTGGCAGGGAGTGGACACTCGCGATTTCTGGCCACAGATACGCTGTTTGGCACAAGTAATGTTCCCTAGAGGTTTCCGCCGTTTGAGCTATTGTTCTCCCGGTGGCAAGCGGGAGGGAGTTTTGTTACATCTTGGAAATTATCTTTTGCTTAAATAAGGCATCCAATCTTCAATTTTATTGGAGATTATTTTGCAAAGTATATTCTGGATACATCAATAATATGGGTTATTCATCTTGAATGGCCACTCGGTCTAAATAAATCCTATTGGTCCATTCCTTTTTAGTCCTACAAGTGTCTGTGGTTTTTGGAAGGGCCAAGCTTTATCGCTTTTGATTCACTTATTACATTAAGTTAAAAGTTGTCATACACTGCCTACGTGGCACGACACGAAGTCGAAGCCAAGACTGTTATTTCAGCTCAAGGATCAAGATCTTGAGACACTCCCAGGTTCACTTTGACCTTGAGGAGGTAATTCGGGAAGTTTTAGTGAACCTAAGAGTGTCGTAGCAGGACTCAAGTCACTCAACTCTTGTAGGTCAAATTGGGACACTGATCCAAGTCAATCTCGAGGGCCAACTTTTGAAAAGTCCAAGCCTTCTCCTAGGTCTACCAAAACTTTTGAGTGGCAATTCTCGAGTTCAGAACACTCGAGACACATTCCTAGGTTCATTAAAAGCTAGTCTAAATCTCAGGAATGTTATCTCAAGTGTACCAAAATCTTGCGAGGCAACCTTTGAGTCTAGAACTATGGGAGGGCCACCAAATCTCGAGGGGCAATTCTGGAGTTCAAAATCCTGAGACACTCCAGGTTCACTAAAACCTCGAGGGGGTAACTCTCGATTCCAAAACTCTGGGACATTCGGGTTCACTAGGATCGTAAGGGACAACCAAAGTTCCTCTCACGAATATAGACAGGACTCGTTATGTCTTTCTAGGTCCCTCACATTGTGTAAAGAAAGTCGTTCCATGATTTTATGTCTTTCTAAGTTCTCTCTTGTTGGCTTTTAAGTCCATTCTTTTAGTGAATTCAAAGGGTTCATAAAGGTTTGAGTAGCTATGGACAGAATAGAACAAGTGTAAGAAAACGAGTTTTGAAACATAAGTGAATTTTTTGTGTGCTTTTTTTTTTTTTTTTTTTCTTTTTTCACATGTTTTTGTGAATCAAATAGAAATAAAATAAGAAAAACAACATTTGGATGAGTTGTTGATCGTCAATACAAGAACAAGCCGACCATCAATTTGATGAAAAACACTCTATGCGCTGCTCCTGTGTGCAGCAACCCCTGACAGCACGTAACCAGACTTTGGATGCTTCGTTGATAGGCCAAACGAACACGAAATTAGGCACATAATATATCGTCGTAAAGCTTGTCGGGTCTAGTTTTTGACGATATAAAGATCATCTCGAAACTCTCAAGTACAAAGTGAGATGTTGTTAAAATAACAGAGAGTCGCCTACAAGTACAAAAATATGAATTGTTTAGCTTCAATTCACTTCTTAATTTTCGCTCCTATGACTTTGAAGGAATCCACAAGTTTAGGAAGAGTAGTCTCCAATAGAGAAAAGAAGAAACCTAGGAATTCTAGAGAGGAAGTATGAGACAATTACACGCATGCATACACCCATGCAAACCCAAGTGGCCGCCCTCATATATATATATATATATATATATATATATATATACACACACCTAGGAATTCTAGAGAGAGAAGTATGAGACAATTACACGCATGCATACACCCATACAAGCCCAAGTGGCCGCCCTCATATATATATATATAGTATGAGACAATTACACGCATACATACACCCATACATAACATATAGGGTAAATTATACTCCGACCCTCTGAGATTAGGTCATTTTTCAGTTAGATAAATATTTGGATTTTAATTTTCACTTACACCCCAATTTATTTTTTGGCCTCTGATACATGCGAATTGACCATTTTACCCTTAATTTTTTAATACAAAATATCTATAATCTTAAATGACAAAAAAATCCCTATATATATATATATATATATATATATATTCAAGCACTGTTAACTACGACTTACTATTCTGTGTGTCCATTCCATCCATTTGTATGGCTTGCATGTTTGGTTTGTTTCTTCAATTTTCTTATCTACCAAACAAATCACAAATCAAAAAAGGATTGTGAAGAAATAGAGAAAACACAAAAAATGAGAAAGAAAACATATATGGAGAGTTATCACTCAAACATATATGTCGTCATTTTCGGCGAGTCTCCGGTGAAACAATGTCGGTGACTCTCTCTCTCTTTCACCCTTTAATATTTGGGAAAATGAGAAGAATCTTGGACAGCGGTGCAATCAGTATGGATCACAGTTACTCTCTTCTATGACAAATTTCATAGGAATACTGTGACAAGGATGGAATGATATATGGATATATACTGGTTATTAAGACCATCTAGATAGCTTAGCTTGGCCAGTTGGCCCACTATTTACATTGGAGTTTTATCCTTCAGTTTGATCTTCATGTTTGCTTTTGCTTTCTTCTGGTTATTGTAGCTTTATATACTGATATTGTGTTTTTTATTTTTTATTTTTTTATGTAGTCATCTGACTTTTAAAGTAGTAAGATGGGCAAAGATTGAAAGGGTTTTGAGAGCAATCAAGGTTTAGGATTTAAGTTTGTTGTATCCCCAGATTAAATACTAATAAAGAGTAGGTTGTAATTGATTATCGCATATCGCTGTAAAAGAAGTTAGATTTGACGGTCATTATTGTCTCTCCAAATCCTTTAATAATTCTGCCGTCACCGATGATGTCCATGACGGTTCGGCGATAGGTTCGTGGTGGCCGTCAATGGAATACAGTGAGTCGTGGTACTTCGGCGGAAGGGCCATTGGAGATTGGTGAGGTGTGATTTGGGTGAGGAATGAGGCACGATTGATGGGTGGAGTTGAGGAAGAAGAGAGGAGAGAAGCAACAGAGAGGTGGGGCGGTGGTGATTGTGTTTGGGGTTAGTTTGGTCACAAAAATAATTAATAAGGAGTCAAAGGGTAGGATAGTCATTTCATACCTAAAAGTACTCTGACATCACTATAAATTGACATTTAGGGTGTAAGTGAAATACGAAATCACTCTTTCAAATATAAGTGAAAATTAAAACTAAAATCTTCATTTAGGTGAAAAATGACCCAACCTCAGGGAGTCTAAGTGTAATTTACCCTAACATGTATGTGTGTTTCCATGTTGCCCTAGGATAACATGTGGGCCACCTTTCTCTCTTTCTCTCTTTCCTTACCCTTGTCTACCTCCTTGTATGCTCTCTAAGTAAGGCTAGGAATGATGTTTGGTGGGGTGGTTCTGGGTTGTCTGGTTCGGACTTTGGTGGAAGTTTCGTGGTTGGGTCAGGTTAAGGTGGGCTAGGTTAGGTTTGTTTAGTGGAGCTCATCTTCACGTGGGTATGTATTTGACCATGCTGCTGAACTTCCATAGTTAGGTTTGCTTCTTTGCATGTGTTTTTAATTGTTGCTACGTGGCTTTATCTTCTTCTCTCCCCTTCTTCATTATTTCCTTGGTGCACGTGGGTTGTTATATGGATTGCTTATCACCTGTGGTTTTCTATGTTGGCTGTGGGTAGCGTTGTCCTTTATTTCCGTGTGATTATTTCTTGTGGTTGGGATAGGATTCTTGCTGCCCAAGAGTTGATCGACTTCAATAGCTTTTTGGGATCTTCTTTCGTTGTTGTATATCTATTGGGTAGTGTGTGTTTTTACCTTGTGTGTCTGGGCTCGGTGTTCTTGTATAGACGATAGTTGTGGGTCTTTGTTTGTGGTCTTGTTTTTTCTTGTCTATGTTTTGGGTTGATGGCAACATCCTTGATAGCTCAAATGAACGGGTTAAATCTTACGAGTGTGGAAAAGTTGCCGGTTCAGTTATCGGTTGAGGATACAGCTCAAGGAGTCTCTTTATGTTGTAACAGCTTGTTTGGCAGAGTTTAGGCTACGAAAACTATTACGTTGGCCGGTGCTAAGTATACTTTTGGTTGGATGTTTACTAAGCTGTGGCCAAAGGAGCGACATAATGAGGCTATTTCATCTCGCCTTGTTGTTTACAAGATTGCCCACAATTTATTTCAACTGGTTATTCCGGACAGCTCAGTTCGTTCCTGGATTTTACATGGCTGTCCTTGGTTGTTTGACAGGCATTTGGTAGTTCTTAAAGAGTGGGCTGATAGTCTTCTTCAGTCTAAATCGGCCTTCCAACTTTCTCCTTTTTGGATTCAACTCTGTGATGTTCCAGCAAATTATCTTTCTGAAATGGTTGGTCGTTGTATTGCTTATGCCTTTGGTCGTTGCTTGAAGGTTGAGTTGCGCGACAGGGGTATGATGGAGAGTAAGGAGACGATATTGGTTGATAGTCGGGTTTTATGTCTTAAAGTGGAGTTAGATGCTTCTAAACCGCTTCGCCGAAATGTGCGGTTGCTGGGTCCATCGGATACGGAGGTTTGGGTTCAAGTCCGATATGAAAAACTTCCGTCCCTCTGTTACGCTTATGGTCTTATTGGGCATCAATGGCAGAATTGTTTGGATGGTGTTTATCTGACCCCAGACGAATGTCATGATGTATGGGCCATTGTTAGGAGTTGAGGGTTACTTGGGCAAGGATATCTGGAACCCAGGGGGAGATCGTAATGATGTTTTTGTTGTCAGTCCTGGTAACAGTTGGCTATATGTGGAGGGTGTGGATTCTGATGGGGGGGTCGGTGACCTCACTGTTCCTGTGTCTCATGTTCAGCTGGCTGCTAATCAAGGTGTCAACAGGATTGTGTCCAATGAAAGAGTGGTGGCTGGGGACGGGGGTGGTAATGGTACTGCTATTGCTGCAGGTTCTAAGGCTTCCTTAGAGGGGTCTATGTTGGGTGTCCCAACGGTTGTTTGTCTTCAAGAGGGGACATGTGTGGTTGGGTTAGTTAATGCTAATGTTCCAAACTCCCCTACTCAAAGCGTTGTGGCTTCCATTCATGTGGAGGAACCTGTTCAGTGTGTGCCGTCCATTTCTCATGCTAATGGACGGAACCGTTGGGATCACAAAGCTCAAGGTGATAGAAAGGGTAAAGGTCCTATGTTGTCTTGTAATGGTCGTAAAGGTCGTTCTTCCACTTCATCAAATTCCTCTCATAGTCAGGGTTCCCTTTCCGCGCGGTCTAACAGTAAGCGTCGACCTAATAATCCTATGGTGGCTCTAGGCTCATCTGTGATGGATGGCAAGAAGCATAAAGTTTATGAGGATTCCATTAAGGAATGT